ATATTGCCAATAATTAAATTGGTCACTTTACACAATCACCTTCTGTACAGGGTTTCCTAAAATTGACGATAAATATTTTAAAGACAGATTTTTTATAACATTTTAAGGGGTTACACCATCTTAGCAGCTTAAAAATAATGTGTGTTTAGAATTTTTGTTTGAAAAATGGAGGAGTAAATCAAGAATTGTTTATTAGGATTATATTATATGCATCTTCAAGTATATGAAAAATTTTTTTTATATTTCTTGTTTACAAAATGACGACACTATAGCCGTATCGTTAAATATTTTTTTTAGCCGGACCTCTTCGCGGTGTTGTCCATTTCCTACACGGTTTGTTCTGGAACAAAATAGCAAAAATTTTCATCATCTACCAAAAACTAAAGTACGCAGGAGTTTTAAAAAATATTGATTTTTTTTTTGGTAAAATGAACATTTGAAAAAAAAATTGTATTTTTCGCTTAAAATTTTTGTATACAAATATTAATTGCAAAAAAAGTTTTCAATATGTCGCAAAAATCTTACTCATTTTTTCAGAGTATATCTAAAAGAGAATTCACTCTAAATTTCAAATGACTCGGATGAAAATTGTATACAACGCCGCTTTGAAAAAACCAATTTGAGAAAAACGCGTTTAAAGTTTCGGTTACTATTTTTTTATTCATGAATAAAGCAATAAAATCTCAATTTTATCTTCAACTGCTATTCTTGAGCCATACAAATGTCTTTCCAATAGTTTGTTTGCCTCATCCACTTCTTTTCTTGTAGTTTTTATTACTTTCTGAGCCTCTTTAGCGGCGGCCGTTAAGGAGCGGTCAGCCGCTTGGATTCGGCGCGCGTTTACCTCCGCACAGAATTGAAAACAATAAGGTTCAGAACTTGTATAATTGCTAAACTCGTCAATCCATCATTAAAATTACACACGGCGATATCTATGGCAATATTTATGATTGTTTTACCGCAAGAAAATGTTTTTGGCGCTATTGCCCACACGCTTGCATTCAATCTTTCGTTGTTGTTCTGTACCAAGGAAGTATGAAGCCTCCTAAGCATCGAGTCAATAGTTCGTCTTTACTAAGGTCTTCATAAATTGGCTTGACAGTAGTGAACATTTCCTCTTTAAGTGATGGTTTATGCTTGTATCCAGCAAGTTCATTCCAAGCTTTGGCCTTTTGTTTCTTCGCCTTTTGTTTTTTCGTGCTTATACTCTTTGTTTCTTTTTTCACAAAATATCGATTCACTGGTCGTCTATTACCGATTCTATCTTTGCTAGGACGTTTGTATGTGTTCCTAGAACCTTTCTTTGTATCATATCGACGCCTGAGCCGTAGAAGATGCTACATCGAGAAAAACATGAAGAAGGGTCTATGTCAAAAAAGTAATGAAAAGCGGTTTATCTCGCGCGAGCCGTGAAGACCGGTCTTTATCGGAATATATACGAAGTACGTTTTATATCGAGAAAAGCAAGAAGAACGGTTTATGTCGCATGACTTTGAAGAAGGATTTATTGGGGTTTATACTGCGCTGTTACCTTCTCATAAATTTTGTAGTAGTATGCAAGCGTAAATTAAATCTTAAAAATCTTCGTTGTTAAGCTAATTCTTGTTAAGTTAAATTAGCCAATTGTTAATTAATATAATTAAAATATTACTTTGTAAATCCAAACTCTTGTTACATGTCATGTAACTTAAATTATTCAGATGTAAAAACTCAACAATGTTACACATTTATTTGTCTAACACGAAAAGAACACTGTATAATTTTTATTTTCTGTTAAAAAATGCTACATATTTAGAAATAAAAAAATGTTTCATATTTAAAAATTACACAAATTTAGTTACCTGTCCTCAGGCATACCACTATAAAATTTATGAGAAGGAAACAAAGCGCGATATAAATCCTGATAAACCCTTCTTCAAAGTCATGTAACATAAACCGTTCTTCTTGCTTTTCTCGATATAAACCGTACTTCGCATGTGTTCCAACATAGACCGGTCTTCACGCCTCGCCTGAGATAGACTGCTTTTCATTATTTTTTTGACATAGACTCTTCTTCATGTTTTTCTTGATATAGCACCTTCTACGGCTCAGACGTCGATATTTTTTCTTTGTATCTTTGTATCATAGTATCCGCCATGATTGTTGAAAGATGTAAAGGAGCTGTGCTGTGTGCGATTTTCAGCAATATACTGACGGCGTCATGCAACATCCAAAACAGACACTACCTAAGCTCTATTCTAAAATACAGATGGTGTTGAACTAAATTCCTGCCGCTCGCTACTAGAGGGTGCTGGCTCCAACGCTAGCGAGTTTCGACGATGAAGTCATATGTCTTTTGTAGTTTAGACCTTGTTGAAAGTGATTCAATCTTCACAGGTTAGATTTCTCGACGCCAAAGAGATTTTCCAATCGATTGAAAATGAATCGCGATAAGCTGTTTTTCCGACATGTGCTTCTTCACTACTTCGACCTCAAGAAAACCGCAGCTGAAGCGCATCGCTTATTATCCGAAGTGTATGGTGATGAAACTCCATCGGAAAGAACATGTAGAGTTTGGTTTGAACGTTTCCGAAACGGTGATTTTGATGTGAGAGACAAAGAACATCCAGAATAGCCGAAAAAATTTACAAGATGTCGAGCTGCAAGAATTGCTTGATGAGAATCCAGCTCAAACGCTTTTAGAGTTGTCGAAACAGTTAAATGTTACTCCAATGGCCGTTTCCAAACGCTTGCATGCCATTGGAAAGATCCATAAGGAAGGGAGATGGCTATCACATGAGTTGTCAGAAAGTGCCATTTCGAATCATTTGACTATTGCGACTTGTTTGTTTGCCAGGCAAAGAAAAAAGAGTTTTTTGTGGCGCATCGTGATTGGCGATGAAAAATGGATTTATTTTGATAATCCCAAGCGGAAAAAATCATGGGTGGACTCCGGCCAACCATCCGCTTCAACGCCGAAGAGGAATATTCACGGGCAAGGCAGACCTTGTTGTGCGTTTGGTGGGACCAGAAAGGTGTGCTGTATTACGAACTCTTGGGTCCAAATGAAACCGTTACAGCTGATCGCTACAAACAGCATACCGATTGTGTGATGAATTGATGCAAAAAAGATCATCCGTAGCCAACAATCGACGCAAAGTTTGTTGCATGATAACGCTCGACCGCATATCGCGACAAGAGTGAAGCAGGCACTTCTAGAGCTTGAATGGGAAGTTCTCCCGCATATCCAACGTACTCTCCAGACTTGGCACCGTCGGATTACCATCTCTTCCGATCAATGCAATACGCACTTACGAACACACACTTCTCCAGTCACAACGAAGTCCAAAAATGGGTGGTTGAATGGATCATTCGAAAGACACCGCGTTCTACCGTCGTGGGATTGCCCTGTTGCCAGAGAGATGGAAAAAAATAGTAGAAAATGGACGAAATTACTTTGATTAAGGTATTCATTCATCTTCCCTTCGAAACAAATCAATTTTGGAGACGAAAAAACGGCAAGAATTAAGTTCAACACCTAATATAAGCACCTACTGACAACTATTTTTCGTCGGTAAGTGATATACAGAATTTAGTGGCTCGGAGTAGATCGGAGAAACTTAAAACCGTTCGGATCCGCGCGGCGCGGTGACGCACTTCACCAATCGGCTCTTGTGACATAAAATAATCGAAATTGTTTATCGAAACTATTAGAATTACATTTTTGAAACTATAAATTATCTAAACAAAAAAAATTCGATTTTTTCAAACTTCCAAGATGGTATAATCCCTTAAAATGAAAAGTCCAATACAAAAATGTCGAGGCTATGATAGTTTTCACAAATGGGAAGAGTTTTAATGAAGACATTTTGACGGTTCTTAGAATTAATCTAATGTAACAAAGAAAAAATCCAATAAAGAGCCAACGCAGTTAATGATGCATAAAACTTATTTATTGTAAAAAAATTAATGTGCAGACGGTTTGGCTGACATTTTCAGGCCTCCTCAATGCAACATAAGCTAAATTAATAATGAACTGTTTGTTAACTCATAATATAAATAACGCAAATATTAAAATATAAATTCCTAATTAGATATATTTGTCACGCATTAAAAACGTACAAATGACGATGATATTGAAAAAAGCTGTGCGTTTTCAATGCGTGATAATTATATCTTATTAAAAATTATATATGTTTAATATTTTCATTATTTATATTATGAGTTAGGAACATTGTTAATTTAGCTTATATTGCATTCAGGAGGACTGAAAATGTCAGTTGAACATTCGCACATTAGTTTTTTCACAATAAATTTTTACACACCGTTAACTGCATTGGTTACTCTTTTTATTGGCTTTTTTCTTTGTTATATCAGAGTTTAAAAATTACGAATGATGGGGCTCGAATTTTTCACGCTCAAGGACAGGAAAATAGTGTGAAAATGTTGAATTTTGTTATTCAGCATCAAAAGTTTGAGGAAACACCTTTAAATTGACCATCTTGCTATCTTTGAACGCGCGAAATTTTAGCTCCGTCGTAATTCTTAAACGTTTTCCATTTATATAAAATCAGAGCCTCGACAGTTTGTATTAGACTTTCTGTTACAAAGAATCTGTCTATAAAATATTTAATAATTGAACCAGCTTTTTATTATGGGAGATAAATTATTGATTGCAGTTGGAAAGAACATAAAAATCCTGAACTAAAGTAAAAAATCGAGATATAAAATGTTTTAAGAAAGTTTTATAAACGTCTTTAAAGCGTCGTTTACAATGAACAGTATAGCAGTAGAGGCTGTAGACACGTTGGGCCGGAAAACCATCTTACTCCCGATGTGTCTACAGCCTCTACTACTACTGTTCATTATAGACGACGCGTAAGACGTCTTATATCTCGATTTTGAACTTTATGTTGTCTAGATTCTTACGCTCTTTCCAATTGCAGTCAATTCATCTCTCATAGTAAAAAGTTGATTCAACTATTAATATTCACCTTGTACATATGTTTTGTATGTTGTAGAAAACCCCGAATTAGTAAAGCCAGTAGTTACTACAGTAGATGGAAAAAGATTGACAACAGAATTTGTTTTACTTGAGATTGCAGCCATTGAAAGGAAAATTAATACTGAGATAGAGTCTGAAAGGTGTATACCAATAATCAATAAGGTATCTAAAAATATCAATATTTGATTTAATTATAATCTAATATTTATATAAAATTGTGAAATATGGATAGTAAAGATGAAAATATTGTAGATTTATAATTTGTACACATATACGCGCGTGCGTCCGTACATGCACATAAGTATCACTAATGTGACGTGTTCCTGTAATATAGTGTCCCTATAATACAGAGTTAGCCACGAACCACAAAATGGTTGCATATGTGTGAATCCGATATAAATGTGTGCGTGATATGGAATGTATGCACTTTGATTGATACTGTTATTTTGAGGGAATTTAGGATTGATTAATGAAAACAATCATAATGAGTGGTCAGATACTATATTACAGGGATACTAGATGTCGACACATGGTCAGGATATGGGATTATCTCGGAATGACGTTTTCAGAAAAGAATTTTCATATAAATATAGGGCATCAAGTACCCATTATGTAGTGATATTAGTTTGTTATCAGTTAGCGATGTATATCTCAAATAGTTTATGGTCAAATGGAATCTAATTATACTGTTTTGAAAAAGTGTTAACGTCGTCTACACCTTTTTACATGAATGTATAATAAAAAATGGGATTCCTACTTAAAAAACTCAGATAATCTCCATTTACAAGCTCATTCAAAGTCAAATCAATGTCACTATATGATGGATAACTTGGTGTCCTATAACTTTCGTATAAAAATTTTTACCGAAAACGTCATTTTTCCAAGATAATCTGATGTACCACCCTTTTTATGACACCCTGTATAGATATAGGGTAAAATGAGGTATTATGAGCACCTTAAGGAAACATTTTGATATATCTGGCACATTGGAGAATAAAAAAATCTTATGTGTACCATTTGATAGATTCGTTGATGTTTTATGTATTTTAGTATTGAAATTGATTATTTTAATGTAAATATTGAAATGGTGGCGGAGATGCTCTTATTACCGGCCCAGTGCTCATATTACTATCTGGGTAGACTAATATGAGCATCCTTAGGATCGCAATGTATCCTATGTATTGCAAACAACGTGCCTAGCGACGGCGGATGCGTGCCTCGTCGCGCGTGGCGAGTATTATTCTGTCGTGCGCTTGCATTTGGCGGTGGGTTGGGCGAATTTGGCTATTTTCTTAAGTTAATAACTCGTTAATCATTGCGACAATTGTAAAATGGTAGAGGACTTTTCTTCTCGGTTTAGTCCATTCTACCACATGTGCGAAAAACTTATCACTAATTTCAAACACCCTGTATACAGGGTTCCGAAAGTTTTTACCAATCGCTTTTGTGTTGATAGAGCGGTCTAAACTGAGTCGAAAAGTCCTCTATCATTTTGCAATGTTCGCAATAGTTAATGAGGTACTGATCGTTAAAGATAGCCGAATAAGCGCATTCGTTCGGCCTACTAATGCCAAAGCGTACGCCCATTGATGGCTCGGCACGCGGACCGCGGGAAGTAGGAAAATAGCTTGGCAGGTGAGCCTCCATGTCATGACTTGACCCCGCACACCGCCATTTGATGCCTGAACCGAAATTTGATGCCACTTTGTGTCGTATACGAGGTGTGATCAAAAAGTAAGGTGACTTTTCATTTTTATAAAAAAATATTCATTTATTCATCCAAAATTATGTTATCCCCTTCAAAATAATCC